GGCCACTTTGACAATATTAATTCTGCCTATCCACTCACATGGGGGAAAATCTCTTACCTAACATATTCTAGGAAAAAGCTGCAAGTTTTTACAAGGACTAATGGTTCCAATAAGACTTTATCTAACTAGTACTATCCACTCCCTCTCCATTCCATAGCAATTTACAAACAGTCTTAGATTTTTCATGGAGCAAGAGGAAGTGTTCTGTACGTGTGTGTATATGCTCATATATGTGTGTGCCTGTGTGCTCATATCTGGTGCAGTTCCTGATACAACGTAATTTATTGATTGCAGAAATCTACAAATAAAGATCCCAAAGGAGTTGCAGATTCCAATCAAAGTGCCAAAGTGGTAGGTTCCTTTAATGGAGCACCTCCCCTTTTATTTTTCAAATGCTGGGATTCTTTTGTGCTTTTTATCTACTTTGGATTAGGGATGCCCTCTGAACTTACCAAAAGAACAGGATGGTTCTTTTCATCAGTATGCTGAAATTTCTAATGTAGAATTCTGCCACACATATTTTGTCCAAGGCTATTAAACTTGACCACAGGAGCAAGCTAAAATTCAAGAGTGCCAGGGTCTTGACACATATTACAAATAACAACAACAATGTTTCTCTCTCAGACTCTTGTGGGCCAGAGTGTACATACCTACAGGTTCTCCAAGTCCATTAAGGAATAATAAGAGAAAAGGCTTGTTGTTCTGATGATTGCTTGACTAAAGTTGTTTTTTTTTTTCTTACTAAATAAAATATTGGCTGTAGGTGAAGGGTGATTGCACATTTGAATTACTACTGTTTAGGAAAAAATTGTGAAAAAAAGTATGATTTTGGTCAAAGAGAGAGGAAATGACTCTTGTTTGAGAACTGTTTTCCTCCACACAGTGTTCTTAGAAGGAATTCCGCCCAATACAGAGACCCTGTCCCTGCTGAGAGAGATACAGCAGAACATTTTCTAATGATCATTTCACTCCACAATGACAGGTCTGTAGCCTAGAGAGAAGAGTGGACATGGTCCTTAGGGCAAGCAAACTGTTTGACATCTTGCACTGGAGAACACATTGTTTTCTTTCTTTTCTCGATTGGCTTGTTCATTTTACAAGTGAACAGTTAGCCATGGCTGAGGAGATTGAAAAAAGTGTGAATCAATGTAGTACAACAGAACCCAGGAAGGCTCTCCTAGTTAGTAGATAGAAATGACTAACTGAAGTACGTGTCTGTGGATCTCCTGGAAAGCAACTTATCTCTGACCATCTGTTTCTGTTTAGACCTTGAAACTTGACATCCAGAATGGCTGTGCCAGCCTGGGCGGAGGATCCGGAATCTAAGATCTTCACCACCATCGCTCCATATTTGTTAAAAGTATTTCAGTACTTTTTTCAAATGTTCTTTGTCAACCCAGAAAACGTTTTAAGAGAATTTCTTTCTGTTAAAATTTACTCGTAGAATTCACAACGTACAGCATAGGCATATGCTACAGAAAAAAAAAATGTCTATGGCTTTTTGAATGCTCTTTAGCTTAATATGAAAAGGAGAGTCTCTATGCTCCAGCATTAGCCTGCAAAATGTCAGTCTGGTTACTTTTTTAAAAAGCCAAAATTTGGAGGATGCTAAATTACAATCCTGAGTCTAAGAAGCAAAATTGCTCATAAGTGGTTAGTTCTTTGGGGGCATAAAAGTACTTTAATTGGAACTGGTGTCCTGACATCCTTATCACTAAATCTGATCTAAATGAAACTGTGGCCTGGGGAAATGCCTAGGAGGGCACAGCAGGGTGGCTGGTTCCAATAGTTTATTAAGTGAAGGAGGCAGAAGAATAGTTACCTTGACTGTAGGATAATCCTCAAAATCACAGGGCTGGCAACCAAGGACACAGAAGGCTCCTGGCAGTTCTAAGTTTGTAGATGTGCCTTTCTAGAATTCCTTAAGAGGCTGATGGACAAATTGAGAGGAAACAGCATTTCAGAAAATGAGCTCCGGCCAGCTGGGAGGACATGCCCAGACCCCCCGGGAGGGGCCTTCAGGTCCTTGGTATGACACAGGAGCACCCAGGGTGCAGTTTCTGTACCTGACCTGCAGATGCCAGTCAGTGTTCCAGGGTGCATGCCTCGAATTGGGTTCTCCTCCGTTCTCAACTTTCTCTTTGTGAGCTGTTTGACCTATGGCAGTTGTTTTGTTCATTTGCTAAAATAAAGATCTCAAGTGCGAAGTGAAACTTTTCTGACTCAGTGAAACAAGGCCGTGGGTGAGGATGCTGCCAGCTGTCTCTTGCTGAGCGGACTGGCTTATTTCTCCATCAGGAACCACAGTGACTCAGCACTTGGTCCCTGTCAGCTTTCCATGAGCTTTTATTGTCCTCATCAGAACCTCCACTTAAAAAAGGAATTTCCATGAATGTGTTCTGAGAGCAAGATGCCAATTTAAATATTTTATATAAATTTTTTGGGGGGGGAAAAATTCTGTATCAGATGCATAGCAGCCTCATTAAAGCCCACAGTGATCCTCTGACGTCACATTTAAGGGACAGCCATGTCTTCACCTTCTCCTGAACATCACTAAGACAGAAGGGCTGTAATTTGGGGAATATCTTCCGCCCTCCA